GGCGCCGGTCAAATCGCAAGACCTCACCGGTCAAATAAAAAGCGTGCTACAGTCGTTGTCCCACGCGACAACTGGATTTTTTTCCCTACAGGCGTCCCCCCACGGGACAACTGGATTTTTTTTCCTGGACCTCGGGTGCGCAAGCGCGGCCGGGTTGAGGCTTCTAGGCAGGTGGCGCGCAGGGCTTCAACGCCGGGAGGTGGCCGGGAGGCTTCTATGCCAGGCAGGTGGCGCGGCAGGAATGTGGCGCGCTGGGTGTCGAAGCCTCCACGTCGGCGTCTGCCGGGCAGGAATGTGATGCTGGAAAGCATAAGTGGCACTTATGCTTTTGAAGCGGCCGGCCGGGAGGCTTCTATGGCAGGTGCGCGGCAGGGTGGCGTGTGCCAAACCGCCACCGTATGACCGTATGATCCGTATGATTCTGCTCGTGTCCGCTAAGCTGACCAAGCTGAACGCCTTGATCAAAGCACTGCGGGAAGCCGACAGGTACTCCGCAAAACACTCGAGCAGTGCATAGGCCTGCTCATTTGGGCCACCAGCATTGCGCAGCATCTGAGATCCTGGCTAGCGCCACTATACTCGGACCTCAACAGCCCACCAGCAATCCCGGTAAAAAGAACTGCGGCCGCTTTGGACTTGCTTTGTTCTTTTGGGGGTTCATGTTTGGGTTCCAGCTAGGAGCAGTGCAACATGCCTTAACGACCCGCTTGCTCCGCACAGCAACAGACCAGCGTGCTAAAGCAGTAGCTTTCGCGCCTAGCTGCCGCTAGGCTGACTAATGGTAGGTCTTGGGTCAGTCGCAGAGGGGCAGTGATGTCAGGGCCCAGCAGCCCCAGCTTGACTGGCAGCGTGCGCCGTATCCCGCGAGAGACGTGTAACCTTTGATCAGTGGGTTTGTAAACACCTAGAGCAGCTTGGTTTTGTGACTTAACATTCTCTGGCCTTAAAAGGCTGCAACGCAGTCCGGCAAGCTGGCCGGGTGAAGCATTCCGCCTGATGTTGTGAGCCAGGCTTGGCGTGAAAGTCACTCTTCTCAGTGTTTGTGGAAGGTGTGTGATTCCGCGAGCGGCGTTTTTAGCACAAGGTTGGATTTTGAAGGCACTGGCCTTATTTGCTCAACGCCCTCAGAGAAAGTTCCGATTGTGCGCCTTTGCTTGGCAGACAACAAGTCAGGCAAGGTGGGTACTTGGAAAGAGGCCAGTGCTTATTGATTCTTGGGGTTGGAAGCTCTTCCCCCTACTCTGGGCGGATCCAGTGTCCTGTTCACTCTTGACTTGGTCCCTGCAAGTGGCTTTCTGAGCTCGTAGCTCCCTGCGGCAAGAGCAGCGAGGTCAGCTCGGAGGCGCGGGGAGACGTCGTGGGAAAATCCATCGAGCTGTGAGCAGTGTGCATGTGGCCTTACAGTAGCCCCGGCAACAAGGTTTTGGCAGATCGGGTCGCGAGTTCCCCGGTGCTCGGCCTGCGCAGATGCGGCGTTAAGTGGCGCCGGATTCGCGAGCTTGGCCGGGCCAGGTCTTTCCACATCTCAGAATCGCGTGCCTTCCGCGGCATGGCGAAACAGATCCTGGCGCAGCGGCTCAGCCAATTTCAACCTATGTATGCCTCAAGCCTAACAGTTTGGGCAAGATTTGTGAGATGGGCGATTCCACCAGCCTGTCTCATCCAGGGGAGCAGTGTCTACTCAGTCTATTCACAGCCGCGTGCCTGGGACTCAGTTTTGAGGCAGGCGGCGTGGGACCTGGGACCCTACATCGAGGCTGCTTATCCTCTACATCGAAGCTGCTTATCGGCACCGCTACATCGAGGCTGCCTATCGGCGCCGCTACATCGAGGCTGCCTATGAGCGCCTATCGTCAACGCCAATCGTCAGCGCCTATCGTCAAAACTGCATCGCCGATTGCTCGGTTTGTTCAATTGGTTGGAGTTTGCGCTGCAGAAATGGCCTCTGAACCCCGGAAGGGAGGTCAAGAACCAGGGTTGCAATCCCCCTGTACTGTGCATCACCAGTGTTTTGGTAAAGGAAACGAGTTAAATGCCTTGCGGAACTGGAATGCATTGCAGCTTCAGCCAGCTTTCACGGGTTTGTTCACCTAGAACTTAAAAGTGACGTTAGACCTTGGATCCCCGAGTGGGTGTGTTTTCCAACGGGGAGTATTGCCACGCAATAGCTCGCTTGCTTTGGTGTGCCAGTGCCTTGGCTCGGCTTTTGAGACATGTCCATGTAAAATCCCCTAGAAAGGGTCTGACTGACAACCCCAACTATGCGGGCGGCCTTGACCATCTTCTGCTGGGTATCTTCCCTTGTGGGGTGCTCACATCAACTTCGATTGAGGTTTCTCGGCAGTGAATAAACCAAGCCCAAGTGACAGGAGCAATATGTCAGCGCCATAGGCGAGTCGCTTTGACAAGGCGCAGAGCCAAAGTGCAGCCATGGCCGTGACAAAGCAGCTGCGAAGAGGCTCCCGACTCGGGGTTGGTGGCAGTCTTTGAACAAGTGCCCTGGGTGCCAAGAAGACAACGAGGCGTGGGTTAGTAGCTTCCAGCTTGATTTCCTGGGGCTCTTAAATGGGTGTGTCTCTTTTAGGGGATCCCCAAAATGGTGGCGTTCCTTTTGTTTCCCTTTCAAACCCCCCCCAAAAAGAAAAAGGGGGCTCTTAAACAGGAAGGAGAGACTCCAAATTCCAAAGGGTAAGAGGAAACCTTATTGATCATGTTTGGCCTGAAGCTCGGGATTTAGAGGGTTAACTCTCCAGGTCCAAACAGAAACATTCTCCGAGAAGGATCCCTGAACAGAATGGGGACGACCAGAAATTTGCATTCTTGCGTCAACCCCCGGGCTGGGGCATGATTTTGACTCTTGGGGGTTATCAAAGTCAGAAGCTGGGGGTGTTTCCCTTTGACCTACCACTTAGAGGGTGACTTTGACGGTAACATCATGGGCCAGCGGGCACCTTGTTCTGACATACGTTCTACAGCGACGCCAGCAGGAAACGTAGCATTTGGAGCGAGGCCCAGCTTCGCGTGTTTTTTTTTGTAGGATTTGGTGAAGCAGAGAAACAGGCGCCAAAACCAAGCCATGAATCAAGATCCGCAACTCTCCGCACAACGAATGACAATCAGGACATGTCCCATGCGCAAATGGGGTGTACTCACTTACTCTCCATGTGGCCATGGTTCAAAGCCAATGGTACCATTTTGGGATAGGTGCACCACCCGTCTATTCTAGTGGGGATTGGGATGTTCACTGGGGGTCCGGGGTTTTGACCCATGGCCATGTGAGTTCTGTCAGAATATCTAGCAGGCCATGATCTATTTGGGAGGGCATGGGCGAGTCTCTAAGTTTCCCCACAAAACCAGGGCTCTGATTTACGCATCCGTGGAGGGTCTAAGGCATACGTTGGTTGGGGACACTCAGTATGGGTCTGTCTTTTTACGGGGAATCCCCAAAACTGCTGTTCTCCTTCTCAAGCCGCCAAAAAATGCGGGGTGCCCTCAAAACAAGGACATGCCCCTATTGACATGCTGGCATGGCTCTCACGCGCAGGATTTGGAGTGCCTTCTATATGCTTATTTAGGGCCGGCTTAGTTTTGTTTTTCTCGCCGCCTTCATGCGCCCGAGACCAGCATACCACCCAATGCTACCAATCTGGCTGTGGGCCAAAACTAATGGTACCATTCTTGGGTAGGTGCACCACCCATTTTAGTCTACTTTAGTGGGAATTAGGATGTTTACTGGGGGTACAGGATTTTGACCCATGGCCAGCTAAACATGCACAACGGGGAATAGAGAAAAGAACTCAACTGCATCTATGAAGACTTTGCCATTTGACCAATTCTTCTTCTGTTCCCTACCTGGTCTTTGTTTTGGCTGAACATGCCAACCAGTTTCCCAACCAGAAAGTTTGACTGCAGGAGCGAGCTCTTGAAGTCGAAAAAGGATGCCGAAAGGCAAAGCCCGAAGCAAATCTGAACATATTTCATCGGGGTGAAAGAGCTGAGCTATTCGGGGGTGAAAGAGTTGCCCACCATGACTTTGCTTGGAAGAATCGATCCACTTAAGCCTTTGAAATTGGTCAATTCTGTGGCTTTGCGCCACGGTTTGCAGAATGGCTAAAGCCACCCGAGGTTGGATACACGGGCCAAAATGCAACCTAACCGAGGTTGCAGGCCCCTCTGGGTTTGGGGTCTCCATTTGCTGCCGGAAAGATGGTGCCTGGTTTGTCATTTGCCTCGTTGCCAAAGCTCCATCCCCAAGGACGTGACCGTGGGGATGTGAGAACACAAAACACATAAACCATAGGTGTCCTTTTCAGTTGTTTTGGTAGAAGAATAGATGGCGATTCCTGGTTTGCCTGGTGGTTTTGCTTCATCTACCAGGGCCATCCATCTATTTCCAACCTAAAAGGACACCTATGACATAAACCGACAGACGCAGCCTGGCCCAGCAAAAGCGCAGCTTCAGGCAGGCCGTGAACGCGCAGTCGAGTACTCCGGTGAGGCCGTGTCGGTGCCTGGGTGTGTGTTTCCCTTTTGCCCTGAAGACGTTCCAACCCAAAGAGAGGAGCCGTTGTACTTTTCTTTTTTTTCCTTCCCAGAACGGAGTCCAAGTTTGTGTTTGAGATTCGGCTGGTTTCAGGTTTTCTTGTGAGTTTTGGGCATGTACTGAGCCATTTGATGCTTTTGATGTGGTAGAGTACCGTTGACAAAGGCAACCCAGATTTCACACAAAGCCCCGCTTCGGGGGGCAACCCAGGTTTCCCATGTTCCTTGCAAGACGAAGCATCTCCTTGGCCTAAACGTTCCGCAGCTGTTTCAGCTGAGGCCTACAATGAGAAGCCAGCCGAACCAACACAAGTGGCGCGTTCCAAGAGGTTTTCTGAACATGTGCAGACTGTGTGCAGTGTTTGATGTTTGATGTTTGCCGCAGTTCTTCCAGATTCCACCGAGGCCATCTTGAAAGCAGGGAATGACTCATTGACTCAACATCTTCGGATCCAGCCCCCCGCTCCCCAGCGAGCCGGAAAAACCGCCATGGCCCAGCGCTCCGCGCGCCCCGCGCGCCGCGGCCGCGCGGCGGCCGCCGCGCTGCTGGCCCTGGGGGCCGCGTGGTGCTTCGCGCCTTCGGCCGGCGCCGGCGGCGCGAGGACGGCGTCCGGTGGAGGTCTGAGGGCCAAAGGGGAGCAGCTGGAGTACTTTGACGTCTACACGAAGGAGCAAAAGGTGATGTGGGAGGTGTGGGATGGCGATTTTTTTTTGGGAGCACAACATGAGAACAGGTTTTTAGAGTTGCGACGTTCATGATGCAATGGTGAGGCGTTCTTTTGCGGTGAGCCTTTTGGGTTGGTGAGAATACTTCGCTTCACATTGAAACGGTGGCATCTCAGACTGGCCTGAAAACAGCAACCAAAAGCGAACATGTATTCAAAGACTTGGACCCTTGTTTGGAAGTCCAAAGGGAAGTTGATTGAACAATAGGGGTTGAAACCATGGTTTCAACAAGGGGTTGCAGTATTGTTGACCTAGGGACAACTCCCATTTCAGCTTAGGAGGAGTTTCTTCAGCTGCTTGATGGCAGCCGGGCCGACCAGCGCTCCATCGGGGAGCAAGAGAAGATCGAGAGACGCGCAGCTGGCGTAGCTTCGTTTTTTTTTTGGTCTACGAGTCATGGTACCCCTTTCACCTTGGCATTGCCACTATTGGGGTCCAAATATGTCCTGGGGTGGTCTTGGAAGGATCAACCGTTGCAGTTTCGTAGCCAGCAAAACAGTGGATCCTGCGTGTCCTTTTTAGAGGAAGTCCCCATTTGCGGGAGTGTCTTGAAGGGACAACCCAAGGCAAGAAGGCCAACAAGCACATGTTTTTGGTGGGTCCCCCTGTAAGACAAACCCATTTTTCCCTCGGGCGCCACGAATTCGGTTGGGAGAGCTGGCAACAAGTTCAGTTTCTTGTGAAACAAGTTTGCGCTCAGATGAGTTGTATTTGATCCAAGTCATTCTTGTTTGTCATTTTGTGATAAAACACCCGCGAGAGAATGCAACATATTTTCACGTCGTCTCCAAAAGCGTTCCGCGCGCGCGAGAGACACGAGCCGAGGGATGGTGAGCTTCCTGGAGATGCAGAACCCCATGCAGCGCCCAGCGGAGTCCATGCAGCTGGTGGGCAGGCGCCTTCTGGGCGGGCGATGCCCCAAGCGTCGCCAGAACGGCTTTCTACTTGGGATACATTTTTTAAGAATACGTTTTAAAGGGAAGCCACCAGGATACCACCCTTTTTGGGCTCCGAATCGCAAATTGTGTTGTATATAGCCTTTTGGCATTTTGGGGCTTGTCCGGGCAGTCGGATCAGGGCAAACCCCCGGTGGCTCGACTCGAATAGGCGCTTTGCAGGCCCTTCCAGTTGTTTTGGAATGCTCTTCCAGGGCTTCTCGCGGAAAGTCACAGTCCTGGAAAAGCCGAGGCTTCTAAGGGTCGCGATTTTCACGCATGTCAGTGGTGTAGTGGTGTGCTTTTGGCTCAACATGTGCCATTTCCAGTTGAAGAGTTTGGCAGACTGCTGTTCGTTGCGGGAGGGGCGCGAAGGTTTGCGGCAAACGGGCGGCTTAGGCTCAGGTCTTCTTTTGTTTTTTGCAACGCAGATTCGCTCCACCTCATAGATCATGGTGTTAGTACTGACCCAATCTTCCGCCCACAGCACCAGCCAACGGCTGCTGGTTCAACCAGCTTTAACGCCCTGTCCAAAAGCAAGCCACTTGAACCGACTGGGGGGTTTGGTTTTCCTATTTACTACACCATGGAACGATACCTAAACAGGGACACAGGAAGAAGAGGCCTATTTGCCATGGGCAAATGACCATTGCCATAAGAAGCAGTATGCTGCTTGTCTGCAGAAACCATGTGCGCCACAAAAACCAACCGGGGCTGCCTCAACTGCGTGTTAAAGGCAGGCCAAACAAAGGGTAACCCCCAAAATTCTATTTTGAACAAGCCTCACATGATCATGGCCCACCAAAGCCACGGTAAGCAGTCCATTCCCTGCCTTATCAGGCAACTAGGAAATAACTGTCGAAAAGGGGGTATACCCCCGACCAGTGGTTCGTGCCCGCGCGGTAAAACTGCCAGAGTGAGTCGGGAATCCGCGTCACTCCGCGTCCTACCTGCGTCATGCGCGTCATGACAGTTCCAAGATTTGTTTTTTTGTCTCCTGGACCTCGCGGCATTTTCGCCGAAGCGACGCAGGTGGCGCCTGAGCTTCTGCGGGGTGAACCGGGGGCTCCAGGTGCAGCCAGCCTTAGAGGCTCAGAAGGAGTCCCAGGCGAGGTTCGTTCTGTTGGTCTTGACTCACTTGCAAAGTTCATGGACTTTGGTGTCACTTCTTGTTGGTTGGTTGGTTGCCATCTTAGTGGTAACCTGAGTTCATGGACTTTAGTTTCACTTTTTGGTTGGTTGGTTGCCACTTTGGTGGTAGGTAACAAGTGGTAAAGGCAAAGACTCCAGCAGCCGGAAGCTCCCAGAAGGCTCTGTAAATGGGTCACCAAGCCTTCCTTCTACCAGGGTCCTTCTAACGGAGCTTCCATGGAATCGCCTGGGGGAGGGAACCTGGAATCCCATTGGAGGTCTGGGAATTATAGATTGTTTTTTCTCCCCAAGCATACCAACGCAGAGATGGTCCGTCTTAGTCACTCCCCAAGGGGGGGGGGTGTTTGGAGGGTCCCCTTCCGGGGGGCTTCTGACTAAGAGAACCATTGGTTTCCTTTGATCACGCCCCGTAAGCGAGTAACATCGTTTTTCTTTGCACGGCATCCAAGAAGTTGAGACCTTTCAATGGGGTATCCCTGCGCGCGATTCGTTCGTTGCTTGTGAGGGCAGGCAAAGGCGTGATGATGATGATTTTCCACCTGGAAGGATGGCGTCAAATCGACTTGTGTTAATCCCCCGCTTCCACTCAACATGTGGGTATGGGTCAAATTATGCCACCAGGGGACCACAGGTTTTAGTCTTTGGTTCCATTTACCAGGGTTCCAAAGTACTGATTTCTGACCCACAGCCACATGATCTTTGTAACTTGTAACCATTAGATTCCGGGGTCTCAAGCTGTTTCTGGGTGACCATACTGCTCCAGAGGTCCTGTCGGATAAGCAAGCACGCTTAGGGTCCATGTTCCTCCGATTTTGGAGATAGTGACACGGGTGCAGCACCCAAGCCCATTGACCTGTTCGTTCATTTCATGTTTCTGACGGTTTATACAGCCACTACGATATTTGCAACTTAGCTAGATTGTCGAACCAGTACTCAAATCGCCCTTGCTGCTATATATTGCTATATGGGTCTGTCTTTTTTTTGGGTACCCGTTTTTGCCGGTTTGAAAGGGAAGCCAAAAACACAATTGCCATATTGGGGGTCCCACCTGAAAAAAGACAGACCCATATCGTCTTTTTTGGGGAGTCTTAGGCCGGCGAGATCCAGTCTGTGTCCCTGGAGATTGCGCAGGAGCGGTACGAGCCGATTCCGCATGGACCCATACATATGGCTATGAACTTCAATGACATAAATGCCAACTTAAATGATGTGCATCAAGGGGTTCTCAATTGATACTCGTACCCATGTTAGTTTTGTCCTTCCTCTTCCCTTGAAACCCACCCCAAATAGGGTAACCTCAACAAAACAATGCTCTTGCAAGCGCAAACTGGGTCCATCAAAGTGACAACCTCAACTTTACCCTCGAAATCAGGTCGCAACAGTTTTCCCGCGAATCCTTAGCCAAATGCATCTCGGGACTCAAAGGAACAAGACATACAGAGGTCAGACCATGGGTCTGGGTCCGAGGTTGATTCATCAGTCAAGTCGGTCTGCAAGGAACCGGCCAAAAGACTTTGCTGGCTCTCAGGGCAAACAGAGGTTTTAGGAATCAACCAAGGGATTTCCTGGGAAATCAGCGTGGCATGCTTTTTGCATGTTTCCCTTACCTGAGAATCAGCAAGATGAGGGGGCGGGTCCGAGCAAAGCAGGACTACTCCCTGAAGACGGAGGTGGTGCTGGGCCCAAATTCCGTGCTGGTGGCGCGCCAGAGCCCGCTCAAGAAGCCGCCTCCCCGGGGAGAGGTTCGGGATGCGAGCGCGTGTTGGGCCGTTTGGGGACACGTTCGGATTTTTTTTTATCCTCCCTACAATGGGGATACAGTGGTTCCATATCCCATTAAACCCCTGTCCAAGCCAAGCCCAAAAGCCATGGTACCAAGGCCCTCGTTGTGCTTTGAAGGGTTGAACATAGCAGCTGTTCAGTCACACGGCACGAGCTGAGTTATGTTAAAGAAAGGCAAACGTACCTCCGATAAGAGCGTACCTCCGGATGGCGCGCTACCATTGCGCCGCGGCTCTACAGATCATTTTGTGGCCAGGTGCTCAAAGAGGAGGCCGGCTTCAAGAGGTATGTGAAGGCCAGTTTCCTTTCCGGGGGGGTTGTTGCTTGGGGGGACAAATTGCCAGAGTTTTTCCAAAAGCTGACTTTCAGATGGTTGCGAAACATGGGGATGGACTCCCGACTTTTGGGTAGTTGGATGTGGGCGGAATGGATCTTTCTTTACCCGGGATGTTCTTGCTGTGACGGAGCACTGGCCCACACACACACACACACATCCGCTTGTCCCAGTCTTCAGGTTTGGTCCATCACCTTGGTGCCCAGTATTCAGGTTCGTTGTAGGTGGGTTTGGTTGAATTCATCGGGCTTTCTACCTGGTCGCAGCTTGCTCTTGTTCATCTGCTGGCGCCAATCACAGAACCAAGATGGTTTCAGTTTGGTTTAATAGTTGCCTTAGTTTATTTGCCAGAATGCATACGTGTTTTCCTGTATTTTCCTCCGAAAGTCTGCGGAAGGTCATTTGACATGTCCTCTCAGAGATAAATATATCCTTTATGGCACCTCCAAACGTGGCGATCATTTCAATGGAGCCCCCCCAATTGCATGGATCAACTTCAGCGGAACTCCAGGGGCCCTCAGGAAACTCAGGAAACATTCGCTCAGAGAAGATCTGAGAGCTCCAGGTCACGTACTTGGACGACGACCTGCTGATCCTGCGCGGCCGGGCCGCTTCGGAGGTGTACCGGAAAGCCTGACGGACCCGAGGTGCGGCGTGGAGGCCGCTGGAAGGAACACCAGGACACGCGTGTCCACTTTTGGCGTCCCGGACCCATATTTCTATTTATATATGAAGGGGGCATATTTTTTGAAATGTCATGTTCAGACTGTTTTCAGAGAACTGCGTGTTGGATCAGGTTATCAGAAGGAACAAATGGATTCTTCACTTCGTATTCTTTCTGTCAGTTTTTCTCTCGTCATCAACGCATCATAGGGCAGCATGATCTATTGGCAGAACCACTCGCCATGTTTTTCTTCTTTGGTCATACGCCTGCCGTGAAGTTTGGATAAAGACCCCGACAGCAGCGGGCTCCCTGGAAGGGAAAGGGTTCTTAGGCTTCTTGTTTCGGAGCTTGAGCTGGGGTACCCCAAATTTCTCCGAGCCCCAGCAAGGCGAGCCTCGCGCAGTCCCGGCGCGCGTTCCTGCCGGTCCATCGACGGCTTCGACGACTGCGATGGCGGAGAAGTCTGCGCCGCGGGAATCCGCGTGGAGGGAATCCGCGATCGCAGATGGCGCGTGGGAACTCCGCTGCGGCGGAGAGGTTGTTTTTGCTGGATTTTGTTTGCAGGTGAATGGGAAGTGATGATTCCCTGGGCTTCGTGGGAGAAGCACCCCCCTGTTAATAAGCTGGGGTTAATGAACAGAGGGTCAACATTGTTCGATATTTTGTTTGGAGGGTCAAAGACCAAGCCAGCGGACTTTTTCTGGAGTGCCGTGAAAAGAAAAAGAGGGTGCTGCGCTCGATGGGCTCGGGAGGGTATCCTGTTTGCCCTGTTTGGTCCATCTAAAGCTTGGTTCACTTTGCAAGGAATTACAGGCGTTTGAAATGAACCTGGGTGGTTTGGGGTCATTCCATGTCTGTTTTTCCCTGCGCAGGAACCAGCAAGGTCAGGCCAAAGGTGATCACCTTTCGTTCCCGGGTCCTTTGGGCAAGTGAGAAACTGGAACGTGCAGAACCGTTTCCCCGCCTGCAGTCAAAGACACCCAGTTTCCCCCTGCAAACATGACTCCGTGTCCTTTGGCAAGTATGGAGCCCAACGTTGTCCCCAAAAAGGTTTGGCTAGTTTTTTTTTGCTTTTGGAGGAGGCGGAGCAACTGAAAAGCGCACACTAACTGGACACCATTTCTGCATGTTGCTTGCTTTTGCGGGTGCTTTTTCAATCCCATGCAACTTCCAGCATGCGGCTTCCTCCTTAATTTCAGAAGCTCGCCGGGGTTCCGCCACCTCATCTTTTTGAGGTAGACCTGAACCCATGTGTGGTTGATTTCTTTTGAGCCGGGATTTTGGATTCAAGTCCAACCCCGAATTCATCAACTCGTCAGATGTTCCCTCCAAAAAGCAAAGGACCTGACCTCCAAAAAGCAAAGGACCTGATCAAAATCCGCCATGTGTTATTCCTGGGTTGTTATGAGCGTAGGTCAAAGGGTGTACCAGGTGACAATCAGCCAGGAAAAAAACAGGTAGGTCAAACTTGTATGGGTCTTTCTTAGAGTTGTTACTGACTTTTGGTGTTTCAAAAAGGAAGACAAAAGGAAAACCGCCAAGTTGGGGGAGACACACCCATATGGCCATGGTTCAAAACCCCGTCAAAACCACAGCCATATGGAGGTATTTAACATGCCCGTTTCGCGGCCCACCGAAACAGGAGGCGGGCTTGAACTACGCGTGCTTCGCTTGCCGTGTGCTCGACACGGCCGCGGCCATGTTCCAGGCAGCAAGAGAGAGCGAGGGTGCGAAGGGACAAACCAGTCCTATGAATAGGAGGTGTTGCCCTCCAAAAGAAACGGGACCCCCCCCCAAAAAAGAAAGGCAACAAACACAAGGAACAAGCAAAAAAAAATAACAACAATCAGGGGTGAATGTGTGCGGGGTGTCCATTGGTTGCTTTCGTTGCAGGACCCTTGATCCTTGTGGCTTATGGATCAGCTACCCTTTTGGTTGGACGGTTGGACATTTTGCTTCATTGCTTGGTTCGTTTGGCGCGCCGGACCGGAACTTCCAAACTTGAGGGTTTTTTGCGGTGGTTTTCAAGTCCCTTGGGACTTGGATCTTGAGACTTGCAAGGAGCTTCTCAGCGGGAGTCATCTTTTGCTGGACGTTGCTTCTTTGGCATCCCATGAAAGACTCGAACGAAAAGACCCCGTTTAAATCCGTACATGTTGGGGCGTGCAGCGAGGGCGGGTTTTCGTCGCATGAAACCTTCTGACCCTGACATGAGCATGCAGCTGATTTCCTTTCTCCGGGAATCCCCAGAAGGGTTCGTTCCATTTCTCCTTCCCTATCGCAGCGATCGCAAATTTCATGGGTTTTGACCTCTAGCCTTTGGATCGATCGGTTGGACATGTTTCGGCATGGCGTGTCAGAAGCCCCTGTGGCGAGTGGCCCATGAGTGAAAGGGTTGGGTTACAGGCAAGTTCTACAGGACAACAGCTGGTTACGGTGCTTTGGGGCCATGATTTCCTGTCACCAATTTTTTTGAAAGAATCCGCCAGTTTGATTCATTTGCGAGTCGACACCGCCCGGCATCCTCGGTTTCATGCGGGTGCGCGGGGGCACTGCTAAAACCGCCAGCTTTAGCCGAGTCAGCCACAGGAAAGACCCAGCACGGAAGCCACGCGCAGTGTCAGCTCTTGAAGCCCACGTTCTTTAGTTCAAGCCTTTCTCTGCTTCCCAAAGCCAGCGACCCACTCACAGACCAACTCAGCCCCCGCGGGTTTTTGCCACAGCCCCAGAGCTTCCCCCGCGATTTCCGCGGGCGACTTCTGGCCACCCGCGAGGCCGGGGGGCGGTGGGGCGGGAAAGCGAGGCGTGGAGGAGCGCTCGACCGGGAATGGCGGGAGCCACAAAGAAAGGCACACCCGTTCCGAAACGGCTTTGGTCTTCCATTTGGTTCCCCTTAACCAAGGGGTTCCCCTACAAGACGAGCCACCCATGTGCAACACGACGTGATTTCGGGGCGCATCTCGCCCTGTTTGCCTTACAAGTTCCCCCGAGGAGCTCTCGCAATGTGTCTGGAAGGAATCGGATCCCCATGGCTTCGGGTTCTGGTGGCCCGAGAAACAAATCAAACAACCCCCCCAACGATGAGTACCACAAAAAACAAAGACCCCATTCAGGTGTCCCTGTGCAAGAAAGAGAAAAACATGACCAAGCCTTGAGCCCCAGCGAGCAAGCCCAAGCCGCCAAGCCCACTTCGCGCCCACTTCGCGCACTTCGCGCACTTCGGGCAGGCGGAGAGAGCCATGCCCAGCGGCATTGATGCCGCCCTGAAATCCTTGAAGGCGGATGCCAACGTGCCAGTACCCACCAAGGCACGGGGCACGGGGCATGGACGATGCACCGAGAGCTAAGTCCTTGATGTTGACGTCGGATGAAACCAGCAATCTGTGTATTCACAAGGGGGTGGTTTTTGGCCCCCAAAAGTGGTCCGAATCCCCACTGAAACCAGGGACATCCCCAACATTAATCAACAGGGGCTTAGTTTTCAGGGGTCAAGTCATTTCAAAGGACAACACCCCATGAAGTCAATTTCCCCACGTTTCAAGCAAACACGGCCAGATGACAACCTCACGTTCTTCCATGTCCCCTTTGTTAGACAGCACATGTGAACTACAATGGTCTCGGCAACTGCCGCAAAGGGCAAATGGAATAGGACACACTTAACTTGGTGGTTCCCAGCCCGAGCTTTCAGTTGGTTGACTGGCGGTTTCCAGTTCTGCCACTCCAATCAGACGCATCGCACGCCCCCGAACATGTTGGAGGGGGCCAACCTTGAACTAAAAGTCAGAGACGCCCCCAAGTTTCCACCTCCCCACTTTCTCCACTCAACCCACTGCAAGCTTTTTCGCCTTTCATGTGGAGGGACCCAACCTAAGAACCAAAAAGTCAGAGACCGCAAAACCGCCACTCAACCCACTAAAGACCCAAAAAACCTAAAAGCCTGCGGTCGATTTGCTGAAAGGCGGAAAACACTTGGAGCGGCAGAACTGGTTGAGGTGAACCACCAAGTTAAGCATGTCTTGTTTTTAGGGGACCCCTCCAGAATGGTGTTGTTTCCTGTTTGTTTCGCTGGTTCAGGTGAACTACAATGGCTTCGAGCCCGAGAAGAAGAAGAAGCCTGAGGTCACGGAGCC